TTCAGGAACCATCATGAATTAGTTTATCTGGTATCGTATTCAGAATATTACAATTGATAAAACTTATTACGAATTCTATAACACCCTCTTCTAGCAACTTCTGATTTTTTGCTACTAACCTTGATTGAGCTTCAGCATGACATTTTAACTTTATTAACTATGCATTTTGTATTGATATATTTTTTTGTTCTTCAATTATCTTAGACGATAATATAACTTTCATTTATTGAGTTATTTGTAGCAATCTCTATTATTTGTTGATATTCAGCTATGCTTTTTACAGCTAAATTGATCTTTTCAGCTGCAATATATTGTGATTTAGCATTTGGTGATAATGTTGTAATGTCAATAAATCTAATAAACTATCTTAGAGTATTTGGAGTTCTTGAAGTGAAAGTTTGACGAGAGCTATTAGTCAAATCATATGACATAAAAATTCTTTAATGAAAGCGAATAGTGAAAGGTATGGTATCATAATATTCCCAAATTTTATTCTTAATAAAGGCAGTATCATTATTTTTGACTTCTTTCTAAGCTTTTATACATTCTTTCATTATTATTTGATGATTTGACTTATAGTTACAAAGTGTTGCTTGTTTGTAATATGCATATGCATTACAAAATTCTTGATATTTATCTTAGGGCTGTAGTTGCCAATAACTTTATAATATAATTATATCATGAAGTTGCTGGCAACTTAGATTAAATTATAAAGGTAACTTCATAGTCTGCCGGTGTCTTCATAATATAGTGGTAACTTCATAGTCTACTGATATCTTCATAATATAATAGTAACTTTATAGTCTGCTAGTAGCTTCATAATATAGTGGTAACTTCATAGTATGCTAGTAATTTTATAATCTAATTACATAATCTGGTGGTAATTTTATAACCTAATATCATAATCTGATGGTGACTTCATAACCTACATACGTGTATCTCCTTTGTGTTTATAACATTATTTTAACTGTTTCCTGTATAATATGGTGGTAACTTCATAGTCTAATAGTGGATGTAGTACTTTAATTTAATAGTGATATCACGATCTAATGGTGACTGCTTTCTTCTTATTCCTGATTCATTTAGATAATAAATTCTATATTATTGATACTGGCTTTCTGTAGCTGTTTAGATATCTGATTTTATGTTAAGAATGCTGACCTCCTGTGACTGATTAGATGCTAGATTCTATGTTGGAGTGCTTTCTCTTTATGCCTATTTGGTTGCCTTTCTAAGGGCTGAAGTAATGTAAAAAAAAATGACAGATAGCGTGATTAATTTGCTACCTCTATTTTTAATGACAGCCTGTCATGCAAAATTTCAGCGACGAGAACGACAAAAACCTGTCGTCCAAAATGCTTTTCATAATTTTACGAGATATTGTTAAACCATTGTTACAAAATGAGTAAGTATAATGTTTATCTTATTCATCTTATAAAGTATATTCATTTTCTATAAGTGTTTCTATTATATTTCATCTTAATCAAATATAGAGTAAATATCGGGTATGGTAATATCCATATGAGCACTACATGTAAAAAAGTTTAATTCACGTAACTTTTAAGGGATTATATCTGACCCATTTGATTACTGAGATAAAGTGGTTTTGAGGTATACAATTTGAAAGATCGAAGTTAATGTTATTTTATAACCCAACTATTGTCTATTTGTTGCCAGTATGTATATGCTGATTTCATGTCTTAGGGTAGAAATTTTACTAGGTCATTTTCTAGGTCAGAGTTTGTTATAAGAGAAAGCGTTCTTTTTTATTTTATCTTATTCCTGTATTATCTTCTCTAGGTGTCTTAAGTGTCCTAGTAAAATAAAGTTCTAGTGAAAAAAAATGAATTTTTTTTATATCTTTTTGGTATATATATCAGTATGCTATATGTATGCTATAGGTATGCTATATTTTTGCTATATCCATAGATAAAAAAAAATAAAAAGTAAAGAAGTCTGAAATTTTCTAGGTCACCTAGGGCAGACCGTTCAAGAAACCATTCTAGCATTCTAATAAAGTTAATTTTCTATTTCGCTTCTGTCTCTGGAAGTCAAAAATTTCCTAAGGCAGATTTTCTAGGGCAGATTTTTCTAAGGCATTTAGCTTCTTCCTATGATAATATGTTTTCGAATAATACTTATTTATATGTAAATTACACATATCATGGGTTGAGGTAGTTGATTTTCTACATTGTTTGC